GGGAGTCTGCTTCTCCCTCTGACCCTCCCCCCTCTCATGTGCTCTCTCTCATTCTCTCTCTCTCAAATAAATAAATAAAATCTTTAAAAAAATAAAAAAAATAAAATTGCCTGTTCACTCCTTTCTCAGGTTTTAAATATTTAACAATAAAATACAAGAGATATGCTTTCAAAATCAGAACCATTAGTACATAGGAAAAAAAAAAGTGATGATTGCTAAACAAGATATAAGAAAAAAATTTTAAATCTAAAAAATAACTAGGGGAAAATGTTACTACTTCTAGTTTTCTAAAGCATATACATTTTGATATATATATATATATTTTTTAAGATTTTATTTATTTGTCAGAGAGAGAGAGCACAAGCGGGGAGGGGGGCAGGCAGAGGGAGAAGCAGGGTCCCCGCTGAGCTAGGAGCCTGATGTGGGACTCCATCCCAGGACCCCAGGATCATGACCTGAGCTGAAGGCAGAGGCTTAACCGACTGAGCCACCCAGGCGTCCCAATTTTGATATGTTTCTAAAGCATATACACTTTACATGTGATAGAAGGCTATTATAAGATCAAACAGTTCCCCCAAATCAACTGAATGAACTCAAATTATTCCTAAGCAAATGTTAAGAAACACAGAAGGACATGGAGAAGATCTCTCTACTTAAGGCAGCCGAAGAAAAAGGTACATGAAAGACCAAAGTACAAGCAAAATACTTTCCTAGGCCATGTTGGAACCACTGGGCCAGTTTTTACAGCATTGTTGCAAGTAAGTAAGGGGGACCCTGCTTTTACATCAATGAGGCAAACAGCCTTTTAACATTCCAGGTTAGTTTTCCAAAGCATCAGCTGAGAAGTCTGCCCTCCTACCTTCTGGTTCTATAGTGGATTAGAGAAAAGAAAAAGTATGCCTCCGCGAAGAGACATGGTAATTGGTCACCGTCAGGTGAGAATGATCTGGACCTGGTGGAAAATCAAATTCCAAGGTGTTGGGAAGCAACAATGTACTGTTAGCAGTTTAGGTTTGCTAGTTGTTTCCAAATGTTTCTGGTGTTTCTTCACACTCCAAGACAGCACGAGGAATCAGGATGACCAGACATCAGTGCTGGGACAGGTGCCTTACCTCCTCTCTTAAACTGCACATTTCCCTCCTCCTTTAGTCTAGTGCTCTCTTCTCTTCTCTTCTGCAAGAGATCCGACAATTACATCATTTCCCACAGTATAAGTGAATAAAAAGGTTAACTTTCATTAGGCTACTTAACATGCAGCAACTTGACTTTTGTTTTTTTCAACTTGACCTTTGAGAACTGGGTCAGTTTTATCTAAATCTCAAACAGATATAGAGAAACACGTGGCCATCTGGCTAATCACATGCCTGAGATTTAAAACACAAAACCTAGGTTCCCTATGTTTATATCTTTTGCAAGGAATAGCAATTCAGGTATCACTTAATTTCTGTTTACTCAAAATGAAACTAAACACCATGCCCAATGGCATGTATGCCACCATAAATTCAAATTCTGAATCTGCTACTTATATAATGAATGATCTTGGGGTGCCTGGGTGGCTCAGTCGTTAAGCATCTGCCTTCAGCTCAGGTCATGATCCCAGGGTCCCGGGATCGAGCCCCACATCGGGCTCCCTGCTCCACGGGAAGCCTGCTTCTCCCTCTCCCACTCCCCCTGCTTGTGCTCCCTCTCTTGCTATCTCTCTCTCTGCCAAATAAATAAATAAAATCTTTAAAAAAAATAAATGAATGATCTTGGACAAGTTCCAGATCTTTCTAAGCCTTGGTTATTTTTATCTAAAATACGAGGTTTTATAGTTTTATGGACTAATGTGATAATATACGTAGAGCTCCTAATACAGTGCCTGGTAAATAAGGGCTCAAGAAATGAGCTATTACTTTTCTGTAAAAAAAAAAGAAGTGGTTTCTGTGATGCAGAAGCTGGCCAGGGCGCTGACAGAGCGCACCACAGGGAGCAAACTTCACCTGCAGGGTCAGGGCAGGCTACTCCTGGGAGGTTTGAAGAAAGCCAGATACGTCTCTCGTTTCTGAGCTGCTTCTAACAACTCAGACATTCACACAGATGGCCAAACACCCATCATACTCAAAGGCAGGCAGAATGAATGTTATTCTGCAGAGCCAAGATGGCACATGCCGAGTCCCTGTGTGCTCTCAGCCCTGAACGTCTTAGCAATATGGTCGGCAGGAGCAGAACTGGCACAAGTGACTGCCTGCCGCCTTTTGAAAGAGCTTCAAAAAGAGAGAGAGAGAGAGACAGAGAATCCAAAAATCTCTACCTTCATTCTTGAAGCTTCTGGCTAAATGAAAACTTCAAAGGAAGGAAATATAGTTAGCAGGGTATTTCATGCACAGGAGAAGCCTGGAGCCTAAATAATTGGTACTCTTAGGATTAGGAACCAAAGTAAAAATACTATGTCTCCGTAGATTTGTAAATATGCTGGCGAGACAAGGGTGTTTCCCAAGTGCCTCATTACCATACTCTAGGTGATGAATCTCAGTGAAGAAACGAAATGGTAGGTATAAAATGAATCTCATTTTTATGGTATCTACTATGTGCCAGATGTACAGCAGATACAGTAATTCATTTTTATGTCTTAGATAATGGGCTATTCTAAGGGAATACAAAAAAGTAACATGGGTGGTGGTGATGGGAATCAAAATATAAGAATGTAGTCACATTTACTTAGTACTATTTAGGACAGAGGTGCTTGGATCATAATGTTCTATGCTATCAGGATTTCTGGATGCAAGCAAAAAGACTGTATTTTAGGTAAAAAAAAAATTCAGAGGATTGACTCACTGGAAAGATACTGGGGCTCACAGAATCACTGGGAGGCCTAAAACACAGGCTAAGAAAAAGGGCAGGACTCAAGGCAACTCTGTTAAGTCAAGAAGCAAGAAAGCATTAATTATCTTTTAGTGGAAGAATCTGGCCAATACAGGACTGTAATAGTAGCAAATAAATTCTAACTATTTCCTTTTCTTTGCCCCAGTCAAGATTCAAAGTCTTGGTTACAAGCATCCAATGAGGGCGCCTGGGTGTCAGACTGAGAAAGACTAATACCATATGATTTCACTCATAAGTGGAACCTAAACAAACAAAAACAAATGAATAAACAAACAAAAAGCAGAATCAGACCTATAAATACAGAGAACAAATTGACAGCTGCCAGCAGGGAGGGGGCTGGGGGTTGGGCAAAATGAGTGAAGGGGAGAGGGAAATATTAGGCTTTCAGTTACAGAATGCGTAAGTCATGGGAATAAAAGGCACAGCATAAGGAATATAGTCAATGATAGCATAATAGTGATATATGGAGACAGATGGGAGCTACACTTGCGGTGAACATAGCATAACATATAACCATGTTGCATCACTATGTTGTACATCTGAAACTAACGCAACATAGTATGTCAACTAGACTCAAATAAAAAAAGTGATTTTAACCCCAAATAGCCAAAGCAACCCTGACAAAGAAGAACAAAGCTGGAGGCCCCAAGGTGCCTGATTTCAAACTACATTACAAAGCTATAGTAATTAAAATAGTGTGATATTAGCATAAAAACTGATGCATAGATCAATGGAACAGAATAGAGAGGCCAGAAATAAACCCATGCATGTGCCATCAATTAATTTATGATAAAAGAGCCAAGAATATACAATGGGGAAAGAATAGTCTCTTTAATAGATGGTGCTGGGAAAACTGGACAGCCACACTGTAAAAGCAACTGGACCACTGTCTCATACTGTACACAAAAATTAACTCAAAATGGATTAAAGACTTTAACATAAGAGCTGAAACCATAAAAAATTCTAGAAGAACACATAGGCAGTAAGCTCCTTGACTGGTCTTGTTGATGATTTTCTGAACCTGACACCAAAAGCAAAGGCAACAAAAGCAAAAATAAACACATGGAGCCACATCAAACTGAAATCTTCTGCACAGCAAAGGAAACCATCAACAAAATGAAAAGGCAACCTACTGACTAGGAGAAAATATTTGCAAATCATATACCTGATAAGGGGTATATATAAAGAACTCATACAACTTAACAGCAAAAAACCCAATCTGATTAAGCAGAGGGTGTGAACAGACATTTTTCCAAAGAAGACATACAGATGGCCAACAGTTACATGAAAAGATGTTCAATATCATTAATCATCAGGGAAGTGCAAATCAAAACCATGATGAAATACCACCTCACACTTGTTAGAATGGTTATTATAAAAAAGACTAGAAATAACAAGTGTTGGTGAGGATGTGGAAAAAAGGGAACCCCTGTGCACTGTTGGTGGGAACATAAATTGGCACAGTCACTATGGAAAACTGTTTGGAGGTTCCTTAAAAAATTAAATAGGGGTGCCTGGGTGGCTCAGTTGGTTAAACATCCGATTCTTGATCTCAGTTCACGTCTTATTCTTAGGGTCGTTGGGTTCAAGCCCACATTAGACTTCATGCTGGGCATGGAGCCTACTTAAAAAAAAAAAAAATTAAAAAAGGAACTACCATATGACCCAGTTCTGGGTATTTAGCTGAAAAAAATGAAAATACTAATTTGAAAAGATATATGCACCCTTAGCTCACTGCAGCATTATTTACAACAGCCAAGATATGGAAACAACCTAAGCATCTGTCCATGGATGAAGGGATAAAGAAATGGTGGTGCAGCCATCACATCCAGCCTCCCTCTAGCTGCCGCCTATGCAGCTAAATTTCAGCTGGTCTGCCTGAGACCCCCTGAACGCCAACCCTACCAACCCTAGTCCGCTGCTCGCTCCCATTTCCAGTCCAACAGGATGAAAGAAACTATCATGAACCAAGAGAAACTCACCAAACTGTAAGCGCAAGTGTGCAGTGGTGGGAAAGGAACAGCTCGATGAAAGAAGGCGGCTCAGAAAACAGCTACAGCAGATGATAAATAACTTCAGTTCTCCTTAAAGAAGTTAGGAGTAAACAATATCTCTGGTACTGAAGAAACGAGTATGTTCACAAACCATGGAACACTGATCCACTTTAACAACCCAAAAGTTCAGGCAACCCGGGAAGTGAACACTTTCACCGTTCCAGGCCCTGCTGAGACAGGAGCTGACAGAAATGCTACTGTCTTACACCAATTTGGTGAAGACAGTCTGACTAGTTTAAGAAGACTGGCTGAAGTTCTGCTCAAACAATCTGCAGATGGAAAAGCACCACTTTTCCATTGGAGAGGATGAGAATGATGAAGTTCCAGATCTTGTGGAGAATTCTGATGAAGTTGCCAAGAATGAAGCAAACTGAACTGAGTCAACTTTTTTTTTTT